AGCTGTTTGTAGTGCAAATATTATGTTATTTATAGATTTTGTATTAGGTATCAATATACATTTTTTATAATGACTTGATTTTAACAAATAGACAAGTGGCAGGTCACTGGTTTTGGAATACAGCACTGTACACAGCAGTTTTAGCAACTATTTTAGAGAAAGCTGCATTAATAACAGAGTATGTATAAAATTTTTTTTTTAAATCATTCTATTAATATTTATTAATTTACGGATTTATGGATGAAATATAATATATTGCTATTTCTGAATCATTTGTTTTTAAATAGTCTTTATTTTTGTTTATAGCCTAATTGTACTAAGATTTAGAATCTCAAAAGAATATGATGGCCTTATACCTAAATTAATTAATATTTATTAATTTACAGATTTATGGACGAAATATATTTCTGGATCATTTGTTTTTTGGATGGTCTTTATTTTTGTTTATGGCCTAATTACACCAAGATTTAGAATCTCAGAAGAATATGATAGCATTATTCCTAAATTATTCATGAGTTCCATATATTATTTATTTATCTTGTTGGTTCCAATTATATGTTTATTGCGAGATTACGTATGGAAATAGTAAGTTTATTATTAATATATTTATTTTTTTCATAAATAATAATATGTCTTATATATGGTAATATTTAATTACTAATATTTATTTGTTAATTTTAGTGTAAAATGCATGTACTATTCAAGAACAGATCATACTATTATTAACTGATATGAAAATATATTTGTTAATTTAACTAATAAATTAAAAAATTATTAAGAGAGAGCCAAGTAATATATTTGAATTAAGCTGAGGTGTAGAAAACAGAATTTTATTATAAATCTGGGCATCAAAGTTATTATTGTTATACAAAATATTTAATTTATGATAAGAATAATATTTTTTGTCTAATTTATTATAAGTTTTTATTTATTGTTATAGTTTCGCCAATATGTCATAACATGTTCTTTATTCTAACCAGATTCTATATCTTCAAGTTCATGAAGGATTTTATATAATAATTGATCATTTTTATTAGAATATTTGTGTATAAGTAATTGAGAAAGAATCTCTTTTGCTTTACTACTTGTTGATCTGCATATTAATTTGGTAGGTAGAGTTTTTTCATTATTATTAATAATTGTTTTGCTATTACTATCATTAATATTAATATTAATTTTTTTCTTTTTTTATCTGTATTAATTGCTAAACTTGACAACTTATATGTGGTTACATCATGTACTCTTTGACCTTTAACATCATGCTCTTTAATTTTTAAAATTTCTTGCCGATAAATAGAATTTAATCTCTTTATACCTTGCATTTAGCATATTGAAATGCGAAGAAACTCAATTTTATTTATTTCTTTAATATGTTTAAATAATTCATGATCAGTTAGGTTAGACGAATAAAAGGCTGTAGTTAATTTATTAGAAAGCTTCCATATTGTTTCATTTCGGGGTTGTATATTACGATCATTATAAATTACTATTTCATCTTCTATATAGTTAGATATAAGTATTTTTACTCTATCTATTTCAGGTTTAATAGATAATATATGTAATTTAAGTTTTTATTATTCATTATATTTGGCTTTATATGTTGCTTAATATATTTTATTCCATAAACCTCTATAGCTTTATCGAGAGCTAAATAATGACCAGGATGGCTTAGATTTACTGAATATACATAATGAAGTAATCTTTGTAAAAAAGAATCTTTAGAAACTTGGGCTAAAAAATGTGTTGTTGATCATGCGTAATTATTTCTACCAGCAGCTATAAAAAGTGGCGAAAATGCTGAAAGTGAATGAAATTGTAAGTCATAATTGCCTTGCCTTATTCCAATTTTATGACTAATTACAAGTTCTATCTAATGAAAATACAAAATCCAAACTTTTATAATATTATTTTCTTTTCAATATCACATATCATTTCGTTTTGGTTTCTATTTTTTAAATAGTTTTTTAATGCAATACCTACAGCCATCCAAATTAGTTCTAGAACATGAAAAGTAGCATCGTAATCAACAACTTTTTCCAATTTGTCTAAATATTTAACCTAGATCTGCTACTAAGTTAAAAATACTATATTCTGAGAAAATAGTAATTATAGTTGCATACATTGCTTTCGATATGTGCTATTGTCCTAAGAGCAACCGCACAGATTTATCTTTTTTGACTCACAGTATGATATTAATCTATGGAAAATTGCTTCATCACATGCAACATCTAAGTGTTCATTTTCTGATAATTGAAAATCTTTAAAGTACATTTCACACAAATTATAAATGTTTAAATCACAGTTTGGCTGTTCACCTGGTGTGAGAATTACAAAGTTTGTATCTAAACCTGACATCCTAAAGGTACTTCTTTTATAAGTTCATTATAAATATCACTAATATCCCAATTATCTAAGCATTGTTCTATAAGTTTA